GGTGATGGTGATGATCAGGATGGGGATGGGGATGGTGTAATGGTGATGGTGGTGTAATAATGGTGCTGATGATGATGGTGTAAAAATGGTGATGGTGTAAAAACCGTGATGGTGGTGGTGACTGTGCTGGTGACAGTGGGGAGCTCAGAGCCAGCACTGCCAGGCTGCAGTGGGACCTGAACTTTGACACCACAGTCCAGGAGGGGCAGGGCCCCCGAGTGGAGCAGGCTCCCTCATCTGGCAGAGGAGGTCCAGGTAGACCCATCTGCTCCATGGTGGTTCTGCTCAGCCCAGAGGGGCCCAGGCGTCACTGGGTGTCAAATAGCGAGTTCAGGCCGGGCTTGGGTTGGCCCCTGCGCCCCGACCCCTCTCCCAGCCTGACTGCTCCCCTCCCTTCAACCTGAGCCAGACTCCCCAGGACCAGATCAAACCTGCTCTTAAGAAGTTTCTAAAGGGGAAAAAAATCCATTCGACATCATTTTATTTTATTTTCTCCTAATTTAAACTGCCTCAGTGCCAGCTAGTTGCAAACGTCAATAAGGGTGAAATACACTCTGCTGGCCGGCCGCCAGGCCACAGCGTGGCCACAGAGGCTGGCTGTAAATCCCAGTATTAACAAGCAGGCACACTCCGGCTCGTGCCTGCGGTTAGGAGCAGGGCGGCCCGAGAAGCCAGGTCAGCAGCCCAGGGCCTGGCAGACTGTGCCCATCAAAAGCCTCTGGAGCCCTGTCCCTCGGTCCTCAACGAGAGTGGACCGCCACGGCCAGGGTCACACAGAGGAGAGAGCCTGCCCAGCCCTGGACAGACTCTCGGGCCGGGAGGTCCTTGTGGGAGGCCCTGCCCCCAGCGGCACCCTCTGAGCAGTGACCTCCAGACCACCAACTGGCTTTTATTAGGGGGGAAACTACGGACCCAGGTGGATTAACCAGTGGGTATGGCATACCCCTCTCCCCCTAAAAATCCCACTGCCATCGAGTCGATTCCGACTCACAGTGACCCTGCAGGCTTCCCAGGCTGAGTCTTTCCGGGAGTGGCTGCCTCCTCTACACTGCTGGTGGGTTTGAAACACAGCCTTCTGTTCACTGCCCCATACTGAACCCGCCTGTGCTGACGCTGCTCACGGCAGATGGGCCAACCCGACCTGTTCATTAAGCCCACTGGGGCGTCTGTCCCTGTGAGGACTGGGCTGGGGACACCCACAGCAGAGGCCCACCGCCTGGCCTGATGGCCCAGGGTGGCCAGAGCCGTCAGGACAGACACTAGCAGGTGCTCGGAGTGCCCCCTGCCGGCAGCTGCCGGCAGCAGGATCCCCTAGGCTGCCTGGGGCCAGGGCCCCGGGCCCTGCCTCCACCCGCCGGCCCCCTTCCTGGAGGTCCTGATAGGGAAATGAGGCTCACATCGCAGATGGGGACACTGAGGCCCGGAGACTTAGGTTCAGACCAGGGTGGGGAACCTGCCCCTTAGCTTCTCCCCACCCTCGGAATAGGAATGTTTGGGGGAGTGGGGGGAGGACGAGACCTTTGTTAAAGAGGAATGCCATGGTGTGAAGTCAGAGCTTTTGACCACACCCCTGGAGACCATGTTTCCAGCCCTCAACACGCACTCCACCCCACCCCCACCCCTCACCCCCAGTTCTTGCACGGACTCCACATCCAAGGGCGGTCTGTTCCTCTGGGGGGCTTACGTGATGTTCCTGTGAACACTCTGTGAGAGGGGCAGGGCACAGCGTGGAGGGTACGAGCTCCAACAGCATGCTGTAGGACAGCCCTCGGGAGCCCAGGAGGATGAGCGGGCATGCTGCTGGGCCGGTGAGACAGAGCGGGCCGGTTCCCCGGCCTTTTCCTCACCTTCTTAAAAACCCCTCCCTGTGATGGTCCGGAGATGAAATCTGTCAAGCCCTCAGAGGGGGGGGCACTATAACCTTATGAGCTGAGGGGGACAATAATGATGATGGTGGTGGTGGTGGTGAT